AAAGTGAATGATGATGCTATTGTTTGGTAAAATTAGCCATGTGTGGAGCACAAAAACACAATCAGTATATGCAGCTTTAGCTGATATTGCAAATCACTCCAAACACGAAATATCTTCTTTGCAGTTGCAGGTAATTTATGGGCCGGCCCCACAAATTCAAATTATTATGTCCCACTCTAAAAATTCAAACTTCAAATCCAATAGAAAAATAAAACGGAAAAACATGATATTCTTGTCCTCTCTTTGATGAATATGATATGATGAGAAATATGTGATTAAAAAGTAATGAAAAACTATTGATATGATGAAAAATATTATTTTATTGAAAAATATGTGGTTGAAAATGAGTTTTGAAATAACACATTTTGAAAGAATATGTATCAACGGGGACTTTATTTCAACCAAAAGAAAACTTATCCAAAATTATCAATTTAGCCCATGTTTGATTTTGTATAAAAGTTAAAAAAAAAAAAATTTATTATGCCAAAATCAACAATTAACTTTTATAGCACATTTCATAGAACCCACATTTCATAATGATCTCATCAACTAAGCCCTTGTCTGATTTTGCTAAAAAACAATTTCTTAATATATTTTGATATTAAAATTTAACGATATCACGTTTGAGAAGTATTTATAAATAGTTTAAAATATAAATAGAAAAAAATGAGTAGTAGATACGTGAACTGTAAAGTAAATCTCAGGAAATATATGAATAAAATGTGATTTGACTGTATATAAAAACCAAGGGCTAAATCTTTCGTGATGTTGGATAAATGTCAAATTTGTCTAATAATTGTCAAAATTAGGACAACTATCCAATTCCGTTTATTATTTAAATATATTAATTAAAAAAATTTTGTTATTTGAAATTATATAATTGGATCCAATCTATTGTCTTAACAGCAAGTTGGTCCCAAAGCTTTTTAAAAAAGAGCAAGTTAAATTTCTGCACATATGTCAACAATAGAAATCATCCAAATTTCCATCAAATTATTAGGTGACCATCACATGTTTTACTTTTCAAATCTAGATTTTATGTCTCAAATGAGACTAGTGTTCAAAGATTCAAAATAAGACACGTATTTATCAGGACGTCATATCACGATAAAAATATGATTTAACGACTTTATTTTCACTTGGACTTTTGTAATTATAACGAAATGTTAGAGCCGAACTTGCTCGATTCAAACAATCCATTGAAAAGACTCATACACAATTATTTATTCATTCTTAATACTGTCTAGTCGAGTAATATAATATTTTACTTTTCCGAACAAGCCAATTAAGTAACAAATAAAGCAAACTCGCCAAAAATGGAAACAGCCGTTATATTGCTGTTGTGCCCACATGTTTCCTTTGGAACATAAGAAAGAGAAAAAGTTGTATATATTTGAGAGAATTAACGTAGTCTGCCTGCCTGGGATCTATCCATCGACTTTCTTGAACATCAAAATTTGTCTGCCTTTGTATTTCTGTCTTCTTGATATATACACTTTTTTTTTTTTTTTGGAATTTTTTTATCCTTCCCAATGCAAAATAATGCAATAAATAATAAAATATTTAAGGATATATAAAAAATATGAGAAGAAGACAATTAAACTACAGAAATCTACTTCAGCTTTGTCCTTCCCAATGTGCACACCCCTCTATGATCTTAAACATTTTTTGGATTTTTGCAATTCTTCTTTTGGGACATTGCTTCTACATCTTGTCAAAGAGTTATATAAAACATTTTCAAAAAATTATCTAAATATGTTTAAAAGTATTTTTTATTTTATTTTAAGAATAATTCTTGACTTGTCAAAAGTCATACCAAACATGTCCAAAGCTTTGATTGTGTACAATTTTATTAGATTACTTTGGAATTTTGGATTATGCAATTAATAAAACTTTAGCTGGTTTTTCTTCCTTAATTAGTATTGTTTATGAGATTTTAATCCATGTTAACAAACTTGTCATTTTATTATATTGTTATGCTTTACTAGACATAAAATTGAGAAAAAAAAAGTGATTAAAATTTGAAAAAAATAAGTAAATAAAATTTGGATATTTAGGGCACGTTTGAGTAGGATAAGTCAAAGTTAAAGTCAAACAAACAATATTAACCACATGTTTCATGGGTCCCATATTTTTTTCAACCACACATTTCAAAAATTTTTATCGCAATTCACTAAAAATCTAATTTTATCCCCACAAAACACCCTCTTAATATACTTATAAAAAAATTTCCATATTTTGTGTGATGGATTGAATTTGAAATGATTAGACAGAAAGATGGAATTGAATATGAGTAAAGAAGAGAGACATTAGCTAAATTTATCAATGTTCTAGCTTAGTCAAGTTTAACGTATCAAACATGGTAAAAATCAATCTCGTTGAGCATATTCTTCTTGTAGTCCAAGTCGTTACATATTGAGTATTAATTATATTTTCAATCAATCGTTCACAAAATATGTTACTTTTTATTTTATTGCAAGTATCATTTTATGAAAACTTAAGTATATATATATAAATTAGATAGTAGAGTGACTTAATTATTAATATTATCAAGTAGTAAGAATTTGTGAAAATGAAGTGCATATACTATATATTCTTATTGAAACAAAAGTAAATGCAACACATGAAATATGTGCAAAAAACAGACTATAAAGATAGTGCCTTTAATCAACCTTTTATTCTTTACATTTTGAAGTTTTGAAAGGACATTCTTATAAAGAGTGGATGTAAGAAGAAGAAATACACTCATGCACTACATGTGATATCATTGGATGTAAAAGAACCACAAAAAAATAATAATAATAAAAATAAAAATCCAATGGAAAAGAGAGCTTCCCATCCACATTTAACGGTGAAGAAGCTATGTTAGTTGAATTCGAAATTTTAACGATATACATGTAATTTTATTTAGCGCCTGTTTGAACTCTATTTTTGGCTCAAAATGCATTTTGGAATAATATTTTGTTGGAGGATGTGTAGTCAAAAAATAAGGAAAAACTTTAGATTTGCTTGAAATATTATTTTATGAAAAATATGTGGTTGAAAATAATAGAGATAAATATGTATTTTGAAAATAATAGATACCAAACAAAGTCTTAATAATTTAAATCAAATGATTTAACATGGTACCAGAGAAATAAAATGAGCCACCATATTGAAGACAAGATTTAAATGACATGTGTAGCGATATCTAATAGTTCTAACTGTTAGCTTAAATGATTCGACGGCTATAGAGAAATGTCAAAATTAAAATGCCAAGCTCATCTGCACGTCAAATTAAAATTTTTTTTAAAGAAATTGACATGTAAATTCAATATTTTTCTCTACTTCCTTACCATATCGAACTACTTTGTGTAGGAGTTTAATCACATCCCATCACCATCAAAACTAGAAGGTAGCTGGGAAGAAGTGAACTCTTTTAACTCATTCCACAAATTCAAAATAGAGGTAAAATAAGCCAAAGATGGTGATCCAAAACAAGAGGGTAAAATGTAGCTATTTTACAACACATGTTTAATTTTAACTGAAATTCATTTAAAAAAATGTCACACATTGCCCCCATTAATGCATTTCTCATGAGCTTCAAAGCATATTTGATTTCATTAATTTCATCAAAAAGTTTGGGAAACATTCAAGAAACCTTAGACTCATCAATATTGCTCCTCAAACCCAAAATTCTGCTTCAAAATATAGTCCACAGAACAGAAGAACAGCTAAATAACAGTCCAAACTGATAGATAAACCCTAGCTAATGACAATGAAATCTTGCCCTTCTGCTAATAGTTTTTGCTCCTGCATGTACTCTTAAGCACAAAATCATATAATAATATCGAATTTAATTATATTAGACAACCCTAATAAAAATCTGCTTACTCTCATAATTTAGGTTTTCTTACCAAGATTCTGCTTGTTGTTATGCATCCACACTTTAAACACTTGCCTTTTCACTCCAACTTCATTGCAGAATTGCTGCACCAGTTCTTCATCTTCCTTCTGCATCTTCCACCCTAATCTCTCAGCTAAATTCAGCATTTTCCCCTTCTGTTCTGCTGTAAACTTCGTCCTGAATCTCTTCTTCCCCGCGCTGCTACTCGGGTTCGAGCAATAATCCTCGAACTCGTCTCTTGAGCCAATCACGCCACCTGAGGTGAAAGGTAAGGGCAGCGCAGCAACCCTCGGTTGCTGTTGCTGGGGTGCAGCAACATGGAGGTACCCAGTTGGGCTGGTGTAGCTAAAATGCCTTTGAGGGTGGTGGGCCAAGAGTAGCCGTTGATGGTGGCCTTCGACTGCTTCTTTCCGGTGGAAATTGCGATGGCAGTTACAGGCAGCGCATATGAGAGCTTCCATGGAACCCTCAGCTCCGGCAGCCATGAACTCGCCGCAGCCATCCACTGAGTGGCCTCCAATGCCCACAGCGTGATTTTTCAAACACTCTTTGTACCTGGGCCTCATCTGAGGTGTCGCTTCTGTCGAGTAGCTGGGCGTTTTTGTCGTCGGACAAATTGAGTTCGAGTTCCCTAGTGAGTCGTACCTTGTCGGTGCCAATCCAATCTCTTCTTCATGCTCCTCTTCTTGATCCTCAAACTCCATCCCTTTTAGCTAAATTCAACACCTTAATTATCATTCATCACCTATATATAATAGTCTTTTAGACACGCCTGCATTATTCAACCCTAGATAGAGTAAACGGAAACAGAGAATTATAGGTTTTAATTCATTTTCTTCAGATGTGTTAAATTGAAAAACAGGGGGGGATAAGAATACCTAGTAGCCTAGAGTGAGAGAGAGCAAACAAAATAAAAAATCCCAAGTATATAATACAAGGATTGGATTTAAAAGAGAACAAAGTGCTTGTCTGTGAAAACTGAAAAGGTTAGGTCCACAACTTTTATTAATTCTCAAACCATATATTCTCAACTTGTTTACAAGATCGCTAAATTTTTTATCAAAAGTTTTGTCAATAAATCAATGATTTTGTTTTAAATTATGATCTCATAAAAAGTTGATAAAAATTTAAAACAAAATCAATAATTAATTTTAATCACATATTTTATGAAATCCATATTGTCATTAAAATTTATTATGTATATATATAATCAAACATGCTACATGTATCCCCTCTTTTTCGTTAACTTTGACATTCTTTCATAGGGCATTCATCATAGTTTTTTTATTTTCCCAACACTCACCACTAGCCTGATTTTGACACATAGGAAGAAATGTCATCCTTAATATGAACGACAATGTACATTTAAGGTATGTTTGAGCCACATTATTTTGGAAAAATGTATTTTGGAATAATAGATTGATGGACAATGTGTGGTTGAAAAAAAAGAAAAAATTATTAATATGATGAAAAATATTATTTTATTGAAAAATGTGTGCTTGAAAATGAGTAGAATAATGAGAATGAAAATTTTAACGTGGCTCAAATGGAGACTTAGAATAATTTCCTTTTTTTACGAGTTTTGCCTCTTCCTAAATTATATATTTTCTTTTCTTATATTATTACTAAATAAAAGGATGAACCGCATCCTTAGCGGCCCCCACCTGCCTGTCCTAAGCCTTGGTGATAGAGATAAATCGCAGGTTATACCTCCAAAGGTATAGGGTGGAAGGCTGCTTATACGCTTACATTTACCCAAGAGTCAAATCCATATTTCAAGATTCGAACCCTTTACGTGGCAGCCTTAAACAAAACTCGAGTTTTTCCATCTTCCCCTTTTACCATTTGGAGATGTGCACTGGAGACTTGTATTATTACTAAATATCCTACACATAAGATGGTTTGATTAAAAAAAAAAAAAANGCCTGATTTTGACACATAGGAAGAAATGTCATCCTTAATATGAACGACAATGTACATTTAAGGTATATTTGAGCCACATTATTTTGGAAAAATGTATTTTGAAATAGTAGATTGATGGACAATGTGTGGTTGAAAAAAAAGAAAAAATTAATAATATGATGAAAAATATTATTTTATTGAAGAATATGTGCTTGAAAATGAGTAGAATAATGAGAATGAAAATTTTAACGTGGCTCAAACGGGGACTTGGAATAATTTCCTTTTTTTACGAGTTTTGCCTCTTCCTAAATTATATATTTTCTTTTCTTATATTATTACTAAATAAAAGGATGAACCGCATCCTTAGCGGCCCCCACCTGCCTGTCCTAGGTCTTGGTGATAGAGATAAATCGCAGGTTATACCTCCAAAGGTATAGGGTGGAAGGCTGCTTATACGCTTACATTTACCCAAGAGTCAAATCCATATTTCAAGATTCGAACCCTTTACGCGGCAGCCTTAAACAAAACTCGAGTTTTTCCATCTTCCCATTTTACTACTTGGAGATGTGCACTGGAGACTTGTATTATTACTAAATATCCTACACATAAGATGGTTTGATTAAAAAAAAAAAAAATACGCCACCCAAGATTTCTTCATTAAGATTGAACATAATGAAAGAATATAAAAGTAATTTAGATTTTGGCACCTTAATAAAAGTATTTTGATCTTGTTTTGTTTGTAATAATTTTTGGATTAGGACATGTAAATATATATTTTCCAAAAATGCGACTAGTGGATTATAACACCGGTGATAGCCGGTCAAGGGGAGGGGTAAATTTGTTTACTGCCCTTTTTTTACCGCACGGCAAAAAACTGCAGTATAGGAATGGGAGAAAGCGTGAGTTTAACAGAGTCCTGTACAGTATATTTCTGCTGTGCAGTGCTGAACAGAAGAATACAAAGAACTGCAGCACGCGCCAACAAGGGGCTGTTCCACCGCATTTTCGGCGGCGCGTGACGGATTGCGTTGTAAGTAGGCAAAATATGTGCTTTAGCACGTTATTTATTAAAACAATTTTGCTAGATGTACAGTCCCCCTTCACAGTGAATTTCACAGTCCTCTCACACGTGGATAGGGTGTGGGCCCCACCTCCATGTGAGTGGACTATGAAGAAGACTGTGAAGGGGGACTATAAGTGTAGCATTGTTCTTATTTAAATTATCTTGTAAGCGAGGGTCTACACCGGGGTTGACACATTGGTGTACATGTAGCATCACCCTTTAAATAAATGGATTTCCAGTTTTCGTGACATAGATGTTTAATGAATAAAAAGTCGTCAAGTCTAAAAATTGATCCTAATGCTAGTGCTTAAAAAAAGTAAAATGTGACTAGACGTGAAGACAAAACTTTAAGAGTTTAAGCGAGTCTAAACGACACATGTACGTAAAAATACGTTTTCTTATTTTTAATATTATTTTTAATTTTTAATCATTTAATAATTAAAATAATACATATCAAATATCTAAAATTATAAAAATACTATAATTACTTTATAATTAGTCAACTATACAATTATTAAGTTTTCGAAATATAAAAATTATATTATTTTTCATAATTTCAATTTTCAACTGGACAAATTCTATTTAATAGATTTACAGGAACCTCATACATGTTTTCAAAGTTTTCAATAAAATAACGAGGTTCAAGATCAAAATTATATATATAGATAACACTGTAGTTTAAATCTTATTTAACTCTGTCGAATAAAGTCATTTTTAACTTTTGTAAACTTAAAATTAAAGTCAAGTGAAAAAGGTTTTTGAAGAATAAAAAACTATTAAACTAAATTCAAATAAAAGACTTTTAAAAAAATGAAAAAAAAAAATGGATAAAGCGCCCCTAAAGAAGACAAAAGAGAGGAGAGGAAGGAAAAAAATTTAGCACTGTTCATACAAAAAATTCGTTTGATATGTTCATACACATAATTTTCATGTCTTGACAAATAAAAAATCCAACATGGTGTAGCCATATGGTGAAATAGGTGAAGTTTTTGCCTGAAAAAACCCAACTACAGTTAGAATAAGTGGAATCCAAATAATAGCCATTAGTATAAACTCATTCTAAAATCTGATTTGAATGTTAGACATCATAGTAAATGTCTAAACCCTAGCACATTCAGTGATGATATGTAGAGAAAAATTTCAATTACAAAATGTAGGTAAAAGAACATAATGCATATCATCCAAATATATGCGGTGGTCACAAAGATTCAACTTTTTATACAATTTGCTCAAGGAACTTAATACACCAAAAATAAAACTTCAAGAAAATCACCATACAATTTACTAATGTTCTTTCATGTTTCAGAATGGGATACATAAAGATGTAACAACCATTTTTTATTTTAAAATTGTAGAATATGAATGGACGATTTACCCCTTATTTGGTCAGAATAGGGGAGATTTTTAATTTTTGGGTCAACTGACGGGTAAGTAGACGAAACCATCAATTTGTCCTTCGATTGCAAGCAATTAAAAGGTTTAAGACTACAAGTGCTACAAACGAAAAGTTAGGATNAAATTATAAAATACTATAATTACTTTATAATTAGTCAATTATACAATTATTAAGTTTTCGAAATATAAAAATTATATTATTTTTCATAATTTCAATTTTCAACTAGACAAATTCTATTTAATAGATTTACAAGAACCTCATACATGTTTTCAAAGTTTTCAATAAAATAACGAGTTTCAAGATCAAAATTATATATGTAGATAACAATGTAATTTAAATCTTATTTAACTCTGTCGAATAAAATCATTTTTAATTTTTGTACAAATAAAGTCTTTTAAAAACTTAAAATTAAAGTCAAGTGAAAAAGGTTTTTGAAAAATAAAAAACTAATAAACTAAAGTCAAATAAAAGACTTTTATAAAAATGAAAAAAAAAAAAATTGATAAAGCGCGCCTAAAGAAGACAAAAGAGAGGAAGGAAAAAATTTAGCTGTTTAGGCAAGTTTTTTAAAATACTGTTCAACCCTGTAGTCAAATATGTTCTTTAACACGTTTTTTAATTAAAATTAAAATAAAGATAATAAAATAGAGTGAAAGAGAGAGAAAAAATAATAATATACATTGTCACCATTGCATTTAAGATGTTTTTAGAATTCTATGGCAAGTAGAATTTTATACATAGATACTCTAAGAATTTATTATTCATCAACCTAAGAATAGCTTTGAGTAATGCTATCATCCGAACTTTTTCTACAACCACATGATTGTATTTATTGTACTCTTATTCCACTCATAACTAGTCAATTAGAGTCCTACTAACATCAAATTAACCTTTTTATAACTATTAATTATGTTTTTTTTTTTTTTCTAATGACCAACACGTTTTTTCCATGTTTAACATATTCTTTAGGCTATTATGCGACAATTGCAAATGACTAGAAGTCCATTTCTAGTCATTGTGCTAATTAATGTGATACTTTTACTCGTCAATCAGACATGATTCGTTTCTACCTAACATGTCATATACATTTTCCATATTTATATTAAAAAAACCCCTCTTGGAATCATTGCCACTACCTTAAATCTTGGGATTATTCTTTCATGAGTTATGCCACTTTGACAGAAATTGGTTGACAGATAGAGTGACATAATGTTAGTTGGTAAGATATGATTGAATGAAAAAGTTGACTATGTTCAAAACGGTCAAATGATGAAGTGTCTTTGGTATTATGTCAACCATAGTGTCTAAGATGATGTCACTATAACATGATTCTTTTTCCATTT